CCCGCCTCCTCCCCCGTCGCCGCCTCCTCCCCCCTCCCTGGCCCCATCTCCTCCTCCGTCACCGGGGCCCCCGCCTCCTCTTCTGCTGCCAACCCCGGGCCCCGCCACCTCCACTGCCGGGTCCAGCCTCCTCCACCACCACTGCTGGCTCTCACTGATTCAGCCGGGCCGCCTGGGTCGCTATGGCATCTCATGCTGCTGGCTGTCACTAGCGGCTTTGGAGAGGAAGGTACCGCTGCACACACTCACTGTCAGTGATATGAACAGCGGCACGTTGCTCTTCACAGCCGCTAGTGACAGCCAGCAGCATGGGATGCCACAGCGACCCAGGCGGCCCGCAGGGCATCAGGGGATGTCCTGGCCGGGCCTCCCACTGTGCCCCAGGCCCCATAGCAGCCGCCTGGGTCGCTATGGCAATTGTTACGCCACTGAGCTTGAAAAAATATAAGGGACAATGAAAGCAGCCACCACGTCTCTGCATGCTGCGGTGTATAATGTTTCTGGGTTTAGATACATTAATTACGGCTGGATATACAAATATTATATTTAGGTGGCTTTTCAAGAATTCTATCTCCTCGCAGCGTAATCTCCTCTAATGTCCTCGTCATGGGATAATTATTGTGCGTCGGGTCACCCGTACAGCTTTACCCGGGAAGGAAATGTCATTAGATAAATAAAAACAACGGGAATGAGCCTCCCCTGGAATTGTTGCCGTTTTTCTAAAAGTCATTAAATCAGTTTTTTATAAAAGAATTTCCCACAATTATCTGCGAGTGTTCATTGTGCCGAAATGCCGCACAGCAGCCGAAAGGTTTAGAGGAGAGACCTCCAGGTGGGTGTTATACGTGGTAGTGAGTCACGTCCCAATGGCTGTATTCTATCATGTGGAAGAGGTTTTATAGACTCACCAATCACTCCTTTATTCCTAATGAGTGTCAGGGACATACTCATCATTTATACCCCCACCATACCAGGAACATACCCCAGTATTTATACCCCCACCATACCAGGAACATACCCCCAACATTTATATCCCAGCATACTATCCCAACGTTTATACCCCTACCCTACCAGGAACATAACCCCAGCATTTATACCCCCACCATACCAGGAACATACCCCCAACATTTATACCACAGCATACCATCCCAACGTTTATACCCCTACCATACCAGGAACATACCCCCAGCATTTATACCACAGCATACCATCCCAACGTTTATACCCCTACCCTACCAGGAACATACCCCCAACATTTATACCACAGCATACCATCCCAACGTTTATACCCCTACCCTACCAGGAACATACCCCCAGCATTTATACCCCCACCATACTAGGAACATACCCCAGCATTTATACCCCAGCATACTATCCCAACATTTATACCCCTACCCTACCAGGAATATACCCCCAGCATTTATACCACCACCATACCAGGAACCTACCCCAGCATTTATACCCCCACCATACCAGGAATATACCCCAGCATGTATACCACCATCATACTATGAATATACCCCAGCATTTATACCCCACCATACCAGCACTATACCCCAGTATTTATACCACCTCCATACCAGGAACATACCCCAGCATTTATACCCCCACCATACCAGGAACATACCCCAGCATTTATACCCCCATCATACATACCCCAGCAGTTGTATTCACACATGTAGCACACACCCAATCACCATGGAACGTGTCAAGGCAGATGATGATAGTCCAAGAATAGAAGGATTAACACCTATGCAGTCCCACCAAGGATGGGATTATGTAACTAGAACTAGAGGGTTGCACAACTTTCACACCTCCCATCCTGTTCTTGGACAAACTACATCTGCCTTGATACATTCCATGGCGATTGGATGGAGCTGTACATGCTAGTGTTAGGAACATACCCCAGCATTTTTGTCCATACAGGTAGCACAGATACCTTTATCCCATCACCATGGAATGTGTCAAGGCAGATGTTGACAGTCCAAGAATAGAAGGATTACCACCTACGCAGACTTTCTGCACCGACCACAACTACACCAAAGAGTAAACGCTCCTGCCCTTGTAATCTGCTCCGCGTCGGCCGCTGTGATCCTGCATTCCCTTGGGACCAACGTGCCTAAAAGGGAAGGTCACAGAGTCTTGTATGGATGCGGAGTAGAGTGAAGAGCCCCCGGGTGCGTTTCCAGAAGATTCTCATATTTGTTCCCTCTGTCATCAAAGCCTTTTATTAAGCACGCTTTGACGAATCTTCCAGGCAGCCTGCGCACTGAGGGAGCCCAATTGAATCTCCCCCGGCTCCTAAAGCCTCCCGTTCGTGGCTTACATTTCCCCTCCATCCCTCAGAAATGACATCAGAAGCCACCGGAAAAACACATTACGCCGGATCCGCAATCTGCGGCAGCGAGGTAATAACTTGTAATTTGAGAGACGAGCTGGCGGTGTAAATGCCCTTCCTCGGGCTCCTCTCCGCTGTCGCCACCACCCGGGATTCAGGGAAAGATATTAGACCATTAAGGACAATAAGGCTACCAGGAATCGGAGGCCGGCGGACAGGTCCCAGATGTGCGCTAAAACGGTTATCTTATATAGGAGGCCAGCTCGGGAAATTGTCTCAAATCATAGCTTTCGCTAAAGACCGAAAGGTCACTTTTACCGAGTTTATATTCTCGAAAGACAGGAGAGGAATAGAGATGGCAAAGTCTTAAGTAAGGATAAGCCGACCTAGGCCAGGTCCGGTTCGATCCAGCGAATCCAGCGGGAGGACACACCAAACCCGAACTTGGTGTCAGGGGGGACATGATTTTCATGTACAAGATGTTCAATGGTGACAGCAACATTGGCAACAAGCTATTTAAGATTAACTCCGTTACAAAAACTAGAGGCCAACACCTAAAATTGGTGGAAAACAAATTCCAGCACAAGGGGCGAGCGGTTAGGGTCTGGTACTCACTGCCATCGGCAGTGATTTCAGCCAGGAGTGTGGAATTGTTCAAAACACTCTTGGATGATTTCCTGAGGGACCGTAATATACAGGGGTACAAGTACTCCTAAGAATGAGATGATGCGTGGACCTATATGGGTTGGACTTGATGGACTTATGTCTTTATTCAACCCCAAATACTATGTAAGCTTGATCACATCACCCTAAACAATGGCCACTCCAGACAGCCTGCTGCCTTTACAAAAAATGGTTCAAATCAAGTCAAAGAGTGAAAAGCTCTCTCTCTAGATAAAGATAAAATAGATAGATAGATAGATAAAATATTAAAGAGGAAAACACAGCACACAAAGTTCTCCGGGGCAATAAACATCTGCAGCCCTAGGTCCGTAGTCAGTAGGCTCTTCCAGCAGCCCCAGTGATGGTTCAGTCCGTCACAGCTTTGTCAAGTTGTCCCCAAGACTTTCCACCCAGCTCCACAATCTTCACAGACCTAAAGGCACCCACTCCATGGGACCAATCTAGCTGCCACAGACCCAGCAAGGTCTAATGATACCTCACATGTGCACTTCACTTTGAATGATGGCACCGTAATGTACTAATAAAGAATTATTCCCTGGTGATCCTGCCATGAAGGTTAAGGTACTTCCTATTTTAAGGTGACAACGTTCTGTCCCTGTCTCCCACTTGCGCTCCTGCGTTGTCATCCTGTTACAGCGAGCTGTGCTGATACACATTGCATAGGCATGGTCCACCGTCGTGTTGCCAGTATTAGGAAACGGGTCCAGAGCAATGATGTGCAGCGAGTAAATGTAGACAGGGAGTGTCTGAAAACAGCGGGGAGCTGATCAGCAGCATTGAGTTGGGCAAAAAGGGATAAATGAAGGTAACAACAGGAATCACAAAAATGACAGTTGTTTATGAAACACAACGCGCCGACATTTTAACGGCATCCAGTCGGGGGTTCGCAATCGCTTTAAAGATCTGCACACAGATAATTAGACACACGTTGAACCTCCCGTGCAATCCCCGCGGTTCCGGGATTCACCCGCCA